CATAAATATAAAAAATTGAAACATTGAAGTGGTGTTTCTTCCATCACATATGTGTAAATTTTTTTGCATATAACATGATTCTGCAAATATGATGATTGAAAGATCCTAGCCAACAGCAAAGTTAATTTAAAAACTAGACAATAGGACATTAAAAATAGATGCAAAATGACAAATACAATAAAAAACCGAATCAATTTTTATTTAATAAGTAATTAAAATAATTTTAAATGACCAGTTACTTGATCTATCAATTTCGCTGGACCTGGTCCAATTGCGCATACCGTTCTACTTCCTGCTGGTATCTGTGTATGTCCTGCATCCTGTATCATGTTCGATATGAGGCCCATATCTTTAGCTTGTTTCGCTATTTTCATAAGTTCAGCTTCACTATCCACCTGAAAAATTAATGCTTTTTTTAAAGGATGTTTACTATCTGAAAAAATTGAGAAAACTCAATGAAATTTGGTGGGAAAATATAGGAAATATGAAATATCTGTTTTCGAGAATATGGGAAATATGAAATATATTTTCGAGAATTTTTCTTTTCTGATCAGTTAATTTATCTTTAATTCTTTTAGTATTTATTAAAATCTGATATCTAAAATACTTATGTAAAAAAACTTAACTTTTTCTTTATGAAAACAAAAGAAAACAATTTATTTAAAAAAATATTTTATTTTTGAAAATTTTATAAAAAAATTTTTGGAAATATCTGGAATCACACAAATTTTTTTTAGACTTTAATATAGACATCTTGTTTTTGTTTTTCTTTCATTTCAAGTATATGTATAATATGTATAAAACATTTATTTCAGTCATGTGTATTTAAATATATTTATTAAATATTAGGATATGTTATATTATATTACGATAATATTTATTAAAAATATTTATTAAATATTAGGATAATATATGTTCTCTCTTTTGATCAAAACCTTATGATTTATATAGTTCAGGAAATGTTAGATTTTTAGAATCAAGCGATGCGGTAGCGTCACGACGCCATTTAATATTAGATAAATATAAAAATCTGAAATAATAAGAATATATAAAAGTTCAGATGATAGAAACAAATAAAAATTGTCAGGAGCAAAGAGTCAAATATAATCATATTAAAAACATATACAATAACAAACGTTTCGACTCTTCCATCTCAATGTCTTTATGATTTGGTTATTACTTCAAACATGAATTTATTACAATATTAATTACAATATTTTCTTATCTGCTGATTCTGTACTAATTTATATGCTGTGTTAACACAATTTTATACCTTAATTTATTCATTTTCTAAATAATTACGTGTGATTTTTATATCATTGTTACACTGAAGACGACCTGATGTCAGGCCAAAACGTTTGTTATTGTATATGTTTTTAATATAATTATATGACTTATCACACTAAAATCCAGCATATTTGGCTATTCTTGCTCCTGACAATTTTTGTTTGATAAAAATTTGAATTTATTACATTCTATAATGTGACATTTTTTGAATTATTAATATCTATTATTAGCTAATTTAAATATAATACCTTAAGAATGATCTTAGCTTGACCACATTTTTCCCAGATTTTTACAGCTTTTGATGACACTCTTCTAGCAGTTTTATATGCTGCAACAGCAGCATGAGAGCACTGTGCTGCTACTTTTCCTTTTCCCATTTTCAAATCTGTTCTAATTACCAGAACCAACTTGAAATAATCATATTCATATTTATCAAATTCACCAGTGTTTAAGAATACCTGTGTACAGAAGAAAGAATTGTAAGTATTGTATTTATTTCACAAATCAATTTTTAATGATATATCATTAAAACTGATTTTAATTTAATGAATTAAAATATTTGAATATATATATAGTAAGAATTTATCCCCTTACTGCATCATCTCGTTGAGCATCTTGTACATCATCTACTTCAGCATCCGTTTCATCTAAATCATCCGATGAATTTTTATTCGTCATAATAATGAATCTATATAAACAATAACCGAAAACAATTGCGGCGATGAATGCAATATTCGGATCTATAGCTTGTGTTACAGTTGTTTGAACAATGTCATTCACATTCGATGTCATAATTCCTATTGTTTGATAAGTTAAATAGAATGCGATAAAATAAAGTAACCTAAAACACATGTTTTTTTGCAAATTTTAATATTTTATAAAATATTTTATAAAATATTTTATACATTTAAAATAATATGTTTATATACTTAAAACATGTTAATTTAAACGTTTTGTTTAAATAAATATATAATGTTTCTTACCGAAGTAAGCAGGAGAAGCAAACACTCTCTTATATTATAAAAGTAACGACTAGTTTCAGCTAACAGTGAACAAATACAAACTTCATATCAGTGATGCAAGATCGAGCTCCGAGCAACATAAGTATGGGGAATTTATGTCCGCCATATTTGTACGCTTGAAGCGCACCTCTACCCATTGAACTATATACCATGGTGGAAAGAAACAAGGTGAGTTATTCTCGTGGTTGCGCAGTAGTCTAAAGGTAGTGGGGAGCGGACAGCCAATCATAGGGGGCCCATTTCATGAAAATTCAGACTGCGTTCCCATTTCGTCTCACTCAGTGCAGTATCCAGTGGCCGCCATTTTGCTGGATACTGTACTGGAGAAGCGTTCCCATTTTACTGGACTGGCTAGTGGCTAGTGACAGTTCGCACACGTATTAGCTCATAACCTAAATAAAATTGTTAGTTAATATGTAAATAGTGTTGAAGCAATTATTGTTAGTAAAGATTATTATATCAGTAAGTAAATATTTCAATTAGCAATGTATTAATAAGTGTTAGCGTTATTTTTAAATATTATAACGACGATTATACCGATTATTTGCTTGTATAACTTCACATTTAAAACAATAAATTATTGTATATAATGTTTATTGTATA